CCCTCTTGTGAGGCCACGGACCCCAGGGTCAGAAGGGCTGTCCAGGCGGCACTAATTAGGACGCAGCAGCCCTCCTGAACAAACAAGCGCGGCTGCTGCACTGCATGCCACGAGCAGCTCTGGGCAGCGGTACGCAAGCGGCCCTGCAGGAGGAGGGGTCGCGGGGGAGGGGTCAGGGACTGTGAGATTCGGCATAGGTTTGAGTCGGGCCTGTCCCCCTACAGGGGGATTTTCGACGAAACATAAAAATACCACAACAATGTCCCAAAAAGGTCAAACGATACTCAAAACATAGTTCCCCGACTATGTTTGGAGTATGTTTTGACTATTTTGGGGTATATTTGATTTTTCGTCGAGAATCCCCCTGTAGAGGGACAGGCCCGAGTTAAGCATAGGTGGAGGGAGGATGACGAAGAGAGGTGGCTCTGCACGGCGGCGGCCCGCTCTCAGGACTCGTTGGAACTCCAGGCTGTGGCCACGGCAGCCCCGGCAGCGCTGCCCGGGAGCTCCCACGCCTTGGAACGGCTCGCATGCACTGGCTTTATGTCGGGCGTGTCCCTCTACAAGGGGATTTTCGACGAAAAATTAAAGATACCACAGAGATGCCCCAAGACGGGAAATTATACTAAAAAAATAGTCCCCAGACTATTTTGGTACTATTTTTGGTGTATTGTTTTATTTTTCGTCGACAATCCCCCTGTAGGGGGACAGGCCCGACTGAAGTCTTGGAACGCTTCGCATGCCCTGGCCCGGCGGTGCGCGCCGGGCGACCGGGCGAGGGTGGCGCTCTGCTGCCCGCCGCGGCGCCGACCTACCTGCGCCTCTCGTGGAAGGAGGAGCAGGGGCACGAGCGGGCAGACTGGAGACTCCGCGCGGGCTTCTCGCATCGGCGCGGGGGCGCCCTCCCCGGCAGCGCGGAGAGCGCGCCAGGGGCACCGCCGGAGGCGCCACCACGGGCGGGGGCCCAGGAGAGGCCCCGCGCCGCTTCGAGAGGCCCGCTCGGACCTCCGCACACCTCTGCTCGTGCCCCGCGTTCCCCTTGCGGTCTTGGCGGGAGGCAGGATGGCCGGGTCCCTGGTCCAGTCCTGGAGGGGGGGGGGAACGTTCCGGCAGCACCGGGGGGGAGGAGGGGGGGGGGGGAATCTCGAGCTGGACTCGGAGATACGTCGCCGACAGATCGGCGATAGGCCCTCAATGCCGAATCCGCACGCCCATGGGCGGGGCGGGCTATCGGGCTCCTGTCGACGACCAGAGTGCTCCGGGCATCCCCGGAACGCCCTCGGCGAGATGCAGCCGCTGGAGCGCACCCCGAAGCTGAAGAGCCGACGAGAACCGACGGCAGGGTCCGAAAACTTCGGAACCCGAACCTCCTCGAGGGGACGCGCGAGGACACACAAGACCCTTCCCACGGCCAACTTGCCCTGGGCACGTAGAAGGCATGGGTCGCTCTACACAGGACGCCAGGGCACCCTCGGTTTGGCATGGTCGGCCTACTGATTTACCCGTTTTCCCTGCAGTCCCTGGGGAAGCCCATCGCCGCCTCGCTGAAGGTGTGCCTCACGGTGGCGCCCCGCGGATCGACACCTTCCCGGCGGCTTGCGCCCAAACGGGGGAGAAAGGGCGAGGGGGGCCACGCATCCTCAGCCATGCTCGCGTCCAAAGAAAAATGCTTGATAGGTTTCACCCTCCCGGGGGCCTGGCAGGGCCCCGGGACCGACAGAAAACAACTCGGGATCAAAAACGGGCTCTGGGCAGAGGGTCCAGACTTCCGAGATCCCCGCATTGAAACAATCAAGACATCGGATATCCAGGACCCACCCCTATCCCTATACTTGGCGACGCGCGCCATCGATGACAACGTATGAAAAGGTTAGGGATGTGCCCTACGAAGCCGCGGGCACCCGTGAGGTCGGCGCCACGATGCGCCAACGAGGCGATGCTACTCACACCCTCCGGGCTGGCAGCCAGTGGGCGCTCCCGACTCCAGCGCGCGGGCTGCAGCTGCGTCGAGAGGGGCGCCCGTCCGTCTGGGCCCCCCCCGCTGCCTCTCTGGCATGCAAGACGCGGGCCCTGGATTGCGCAGGTACCGACCGTCCCGGCATTCCTATAGTCATACCACGAAATGTTCTTAGAATCCCCAAAATGTTCTTATAACAAAAACAATGTTCTCAGAACATGAACCCGATGTGCTAAACCAAGACAGACTCCGCCAGAAGTGTTCTAAGAACACCTCGTGGCGACCACAAAAGGTTCTCAGAACATCGCTTGGTGGGGCTGTAGGCGAGCCAGGACGCTTCCCCACTGCTCGACTGGAGGCGAGTGGGCTCCGGGCTTTCCACCACCTCTGCAAGGGCTCCCAACTTCGCGCTTCGCGCTCCGCGAAGCGCGAAGCGCGAATAACTTCGCGCTCCCGCGCCGCCCCCCCAAAGGGAGAATAGGAGGACGAGGAGGAGGGGGAGAAGGAACGAGGACCGCGAAGCGCGAAGCGCGAATAACTTCGCGCCCTCGGGGGAGCCCTTGGCTTTCCACCACCTCTGGAGGCCCCGCAAGGGGGGCCCTGCACTGCCGCCCCCGGATCCGCCCGATATCCACGGCATCCTTTTTTTTTTCCCCCGCCGCGCGGACCTCTCGAGCAGACCCAGGGATTTGCAGGGCCCTCTTTACCCCTGGCTTGCTTCCCTGCTTTTGGGAGGGCGACGAGGGCACGCGGGAGAGGAGGAGGAAGACGAGGCCGAGGGGGAAGCAACGACGAGCCCAAAGCGCAGAAACGACAGAGGTGAGTGGGCTCCGGGCTTCTCACCACCTCCGGAGGCCCCGCAGAAGGGGCCCGGCACCGCCGCCCCTGGATGCGCCCGATGCGCGGCATCCTTTTTTGTGCGGGGGCCTCCCCTCGCCCTGCAGCCCCCCCCGTTCGCGCGCCCCCCAAAGCCTTACGTCGGGCCTGTCCCCCTACAGGGGCATCCTCGACGAAAAATAAAAAATACCCCAAAAGTAATCAAAACATACTCCAAAAATAATCTGGGGACTATTTTTGGAATATTTGTGTTACCTTTTTGGGGTATGTTTGTGGTATTTCCCTACCTAGGCTCTGCCTAGAAAGGTTCTTACCGTGTTGGCTTAAAGGGCCGGGCAGTGTTCCACGCCCCGGGCGGTTCCCCCAAGATCCGCCCCGCGGTTCCCCCAGTGACGTTCCCTTAGCTTAGCGTTGCTTATCTCATCTTAGCATAGCTTGTTTCATCTTAGCTTAGCTTAGCTTCATCTTAGCTCAGGTTTATCTTAGCTTAGCTTACCTTCATTTGAGCTTCGCCGAGCTTTAGCATAGCAGAGCACATAATATCATAGCAGAGCGTAGCACAGCACAACGCAGCACAGCATATCATAGCAAAGCTCAGCATAGCATCACATAGCGCAGCATAGCATAGCATAGCATAGCATAGCATAGCATAGCATAGCACAGCACAGCACAGCACAGCGTAGCACCGCGCAGCATAGCATAGCATAGCATAGCATAGCATAGCATAGCATATCATAGCACAGAGCAGCATAGCATAGCATAGCATAGCATAGCATAGCATAGCATAGCTTCGCATAGCACAGCGCAGCATGACATAGCATAGCTTAGCTTAGCATAGCATAGCGTAGCATAGCATAGCATAGCATAGCATAGTGCAGCATAGCATGGCATGGCATAGAATAGCAACTAATGCTGCTTTCCTAGGGGCTCCAACTTCTAGGTAGGGTAGTCACTGGGGTAATTTTTATTTTTCGTCGAAAGTCCCCCTGCAGGGGGACACGCCCGACTTGCCCCAAGCCTTTGGCGAAGGCCTCGCAGAAGGCAACGCCGGTGCCGAAGTCAGCGAAGGCGCGCTCCGTGGGCGCGCTCGCTCGCGCGTGGTGGCGGCGCGGGGTCCCCAGGAACTTCATGCTGAAGCGGCCGGTCTTCAGGGCAGTCTTGTTCTTGTAGGCCACTGCGCCTGCTGCTGGGCTGGAGCCAAGACAGCAGCCTGAGCATTCGCTCTGTGTCCAATTCCATTGAAGGGCCCAGGATAGTAGTAGTAGTAGTAGTAGTAGTAGTAGTAGTAGTAGTAGTAGTAGTAGTGGTAGTAGTAGTAGTAGTAGTAGTAGTAGTAGTAGTAGTAGTAGTAGTAATAATAACAGTAGTAGTAGTAGTAGTAGTAGTAGTAGTAGTAGTAGTAGTAGTAGTAGTCGTAGTAGTAGTCGTAGTAGTAGTAGTAGTAGTAGTAGTAAAAGTAATGGTAATCGAAGTAGTAGCGGTTGTAGCGGTTGCAACCATAATATCACAACCTGTTCGATAACCTTGACACACGTGGGATGATGATTGTGGTATTCAGCATAAACCAATAGCAACTTCGACGCGTAACGTTCCCACGCGAGTATGAAGTTCGGCTTTTCCACAATTTTCTCCCGACCAACTGACTGGCCAGAAATACTCAAGTGACTGACGCGAGACTGCCCCAACAAACGTATTGGTCAACCCCGGCCTTTCGCCAGAGGCTTGACGTCGAACTTGAACGGCCCCCCCTTGGCAACTGGCGGATCGATGTTGCTGGGATCCGCGTCGAGCTTGTGCACGGCGCCGTTGATGTGCATGCCTGGTACTGGAATCCCGTTCGAACAAGACGACGATACTTCCGCTGTGCCTGATGCCGTCCTTTCTAAGATACGCTTTGCGCGAGCATGCAGCCCAGCGAACGCTCGGTTGGCTTGTGCCGGCACGACGGCGTTCCCCAGAAGCTCCATCGAAACGTACGCCTGTCTTCTCAATGCGGCCGCGTGCTCGTCCCCATCGGCGGGTATGATGACGGACTCCTTGAAGCTGCTGGCCAGTAGCTTTGTGAGCGGTGAATCTACCTTCGCCTGAACAGGGACAGGTGCTGGGTGGCGTCGGACACCCAACAAGAACCACCGCCGGCGCCTGTGGATGGCCCCACTCCCTGCGGCAGAGTAGAAGTCCCAGAACGTGTCGTAGCCGAGATCGTTCAGGGAAGACAGCAGGCCCATGTACTCGGTGGACTTGCTCGTGATGCCAGAAACGTTCTCCAGAAATCCGCCGACGGGCACCAAGGCACGCAATGAGCAGTACAGTGTTCATGTGCCGCCTGGCGATGCCCCCTGGCACGGGCCATCCCCCGGCACGCAAAAGTGCCAAGGGGCCACTGGGCCACAGTGTCAAGTGTTCACTCCTAGTGCGCAAGGGCCACCCCCCGGCACGATAAACCAGGCGCCTGCGCCCCCCCCTTTTTGGACCCCCTCATCCTCAACCTTTTCCTCCTCCTCCTCCTCCTCCTCCTCCTCCTGTTCCTCCTCCCCCCCTTGTTTCTACTAGTCCTTGTCCGCCCGGGGGATCCCATGACCACCAACGGCATTGCCTCTTCGACACACGACACACCAACTCCTGGGGGATAGTGCGTCGAACCCCCCCCCCCAGGTTGGCGGGGGCCCTTGCCTCCGATGGCAGTGCCGGCCCGGAGAGCCGCCGAAACTGCAAAACGAAGCCGCGATCGGGACGACATCAGATCGGGACACGGCGGGGGCCCCCGCAGGCGGGCGCGTGGAGGATGTCTCCGGCGGCGCGGCCGTTCCGAGAACGCCCCCCGGGAGCTCTGCGTGCAGGGCGCTCCGAAACGCTCCGGCGCGGTGCCTCCCGATGCGAGAGGCCGGGGCGCCGGCCGCACCTTGGGGCGAGCCGGAGGGTGCCCAGGAGACCGCGGTGACGGCACAGGGCGCGGAGGCCTGGCTGGGAGGAGGAAGTTCGAGGCTCGCATTTCCGCGACTCCGGGGAGCGTCCAAGAGGCCCGAAGAGGCCCAAATCCCAAGGGGAGCCCCTGACGCTTCCCAGAAGACGGCTGCAGGGACCAATGCGTGCGTGCACGGCTCCGACGCCACAGGAGGGGTCCGACAGCTCGAAGAGAACAAAAACATTTCAGGACTCATTCCCCTCAACATTGACTTTGCGCAGGAAAGCCGGTGGCAGACCTCTTGCGCACATGAAAGCCACTGGCGATTGAGATCCGAGGCAGCGTTCCTCGAGGATGCACCGCTCCGCGGGGTCATTCAAAATGCTCTCGCTCTGTTCCTCGACGCGGCCCTCCTGGAAAAACAAAGCAGTGCGTTACGAGGCAGTGGGGCGGTGGAAAGAGCAACGCGACGGCCTGCGCAACGAAATGCAAAACAATGCGAATCAAAGCAACCCCATGCAATACACCGCAGAGTAACAAACCAAACAACAAAACGAGACAGCGCGAAGCCATGCACTGCAAACTGGACCATGCAACGACACAACATAAGACCACACATACTCAGCCTGGCGAAAGACCCAACCAAATGCAGTTGTGAGTACCGCAATGTGGGTATCGCTTTCGGTGGAGCTCCCCATGGGGCCAAGAACCGCTGTACTGGGTGGGGGAAACGCATGCGACATACGCCACTGGGACCTACGGTGGCACTCCCTTTGGGGCCACGAGACGCTGTACAATGGGGAGACGCATGCGAACTGCGCCATTGGGACCTTCGGTGGAGCCCCCTCAGGGGCCACCAAACGCTGTATTGTGTGGGGTGGGGGGGGCGCATGCGAACTGCGCCACTGGGACCTTCGGTTGAGCTCCCTCTGGGGCCACCAACGTTGTACTGGGTTGGGGAGACGCATGCGAACTGCGCCACTGGGACCTTCGGTGGAAATCCGTCTGGGGCCAGGAAGCGCTGTACTGGGTGGTGGAGGCGCATGCGAACTGCGCCGCTGGGACATTCGTTGGAGCTCCGTCTGGGGCCACGAAACGCTGCACTGGGTGGGGGAGACGCATGCGAACTGTGCAACTGGGACCTTCCGTGGGGCTCCCTATGGGGCTAGGAAGCGCTGTGCTGGGGAGGGGGCGCATGCGAACTGCGCCACTGGAACTTTCGGTGGAGCCCCCACTGGGGCCATGAAGTGATGTACTGGGTGGTGGAGGAGCATGCGAACTGCGCCACTGGGACCTTCGGTGGAGCGCCCTATGGGGCCACGACGAAACGTTGTACGATGGAGGAGACGCATGCGAACTGCGCCATTGAAGCCTTCGGTGGAGCTCCCCGTGGGACCACGAAGCACTGCATTGGGGGGAGAGACGCATGCGAACTGCGCAAGTGCAACCTCCGGTGGAGCTCGCAATGGGCCCCACGAAGAGCGGTATTGGGGGGGGAGACGCGTGCGGACTGCGCCACTGGGACCTTCGGTGGAAATCCGTCTGGGGCCACGAAGCGCTGTACTGGGTGGTGGAGGCGCATGCGAACTGCGCCAATGGGACCTTCGGTGGAGCTCCCAACGGGGCCACGAAACGCTGCACTGGGTGGGGGAGACGCATGCGAACTGTGCAACTGGGACCTTCCGTGGGGCTCCCTATGGGGCTAGGAAGCGCTGTGCGGGGGGGGGGGGGGCGCATGCGAACTGCGCCACTGGAACTTTCGGTGGAGCCCCCACTGGGGCCACGAAGTGATGTACTGGGTGGTGGAGGAGCATGCGGACTGCGCCACTGGGACCTTCGGTGGAGCGCCTTATGGGGCCACGACGAAAAGTTGTACGATGGAGGAGACGCATGCGAACTGCGCCATTGAAGCTTTCGGTGGAGCTCCCCGTGGGGCCACGAAACGCTGCATTGGGGGGAGAGACGCATGCGAACTGCGCAAGTGCAACCTCCGGTGGAGCTCGCAATGGGCCCCACGAAGAGCGGTATTGGGGGGGGGAGACGCGTGCGGACTGCGCCACTGGGACCTTCGGTGGAGCTCCCTATGAAGCCACGAAGCGCTGTACTGGGTGGGGGAAGACGCGTGCGAACTGCGCCACTGGAAATGGGGCTCCCAACGGGGTCACGAAATGCTGCGCATGCGAATTGCGCCAATGGGACCGTCGGTGGAGCTCCCAACGGGGCCACGAAATGTTGTACTGGGTTGGGCTGACGGATGCGAACTGCGCCATTCGGACCTTCGGTGGAGCTCCCTCTGGGGCCACGAATCGCTATGTTGGGTGGGGGGAGACGCGTGCGAACTGCGTCACTGGGTCCTTCGGTGGAGCTCCCTCTGAAGCTACGAAGTTTTGTGCTGGGCGGGGGAGGCGCATGCGAACTGCGCCACTGGGACCTTCGGTGGGGCTCCCTATGGGGCCACGAAGCGCTGCAGTGGGCGGGGGAGGCGCATGCGAACTGCGCCACTGGAACCTTCGGTGGAGCTCCCCATGGGGACACGAAGCGCTGCCCCTGGGCTGCATGGGTGGGAGGAGGGAGGAAGGAGAGGAGGAGAGGAGAAGACAGGAGAGGAGAGGAGGAACGCGGAGCGCTGTCTCTTCAAACGAGGACCCAACACCACAGGATGGTTGGGACAAATATCAGAAAATGGCAGAGTAAACTGTTTTGCAGAGATCGTCGCTGACGAACCCCATATACGAGTCATGGTGCAGCGTGGATAAAGAATGGCGCGAAGCGGCATGGACCTGAACATGTGAAAGGATACGTGATCAGAGTACGATGTCCGATTGTTTCACGCAGTCTCAAACGCAAGGATCGTATAGGCAATGGATATCTGCGCGAACCGTCGTAAGCTACATCGGCGGTGGATCGCTCGCGTTGCTCGCCCTTGACTTCCGGTCAAACTCAGAGAGGGGGCGGAGACGAGTGGCGAATCCGCTCGCAGAGCCACATTGAAACCGCGCTGGCACGGGCCGCGCAGCGGACAACGACCGCCCTCCCCCTAAAAGACGAATCGACCCCCCCGCCAGAAACTGGAGCCGCCACCGCGGCAAATCGTTAGACAGCTTCCACGGGTCGCGAACCCGCCCCAATGACAGTGTGGAGCGACCAACCGCTTCGCGGAAATCCGGCGCCCGGAGGCCCACGCGCCCGAACAGTCTTAGAAAACAACAAAAAAATAACAGCGGATACCCGTGCGCGGAGAAGCACGTGGCCGCGCCGCCCCAAAAACACGCCACAGCTGCCAGTTGTCGCATAGCCAGGCTGAGTCGCTGAAGCCTGGCGAACCCGGTAGGGAGCAAATTTCTGCAGCTCGTGCTCGAATGACTGAATACCTGATGTCGCTGGTAGGAGTAATCACGGTGATCAATAAATACTACCTTTGGAATGTCAGTCGGCTGCCATGCCGCGCGTGTCACGGGACTGTGCACTGTCTACGATGCCCCTGTCCATCGCTTGTCTAATCCACGCGGGGTGGCCAAGCAGTGCGCATCCCGTCGGCTTCTTTTGGCGTTTCATAGATGCAGATTTCAAGACGGACGCTGCGTTGAACTACGATTTCCCAATCGTTTTCTGGGGCTGCGCTAGGGCGCGTGGCCCCGCTTGAAGTTCGCCAAGTGTCAGCCTGTAATCGATGGGACTTGCAGCGCGCCTACTGAGCGGAAGACAAGCTGTCCACCTTGCGCGCGTCTGCGCCCGAGGAAACCGGCACCTCTGACGCCGTGCCCTTGCGCCCCGTCGTCGGCATCTCCGTTGAGACGTCAGTTGTTAAATTCGCCGTGCAGATTCATAGCTTCAGCCTGTCTTGTTTTCAATACTGGACTTAGCTGGTCTTTGGCTCGAGCGAGATCAAACCTTAAATTGCCATCGAGGCTACTTACGGTTCGTCCTCGTGGAGGCGCCCTGCCCCCACCTCCCAACAACCCCAAAGACGGCCACCGAGGTGCCCCAAGACGCCCCCGGAAGGACACAACGGTTCCCCAGGATGGGCACCAAGGTGGCCGAAACCCGCCCGCAGGGCGGCCCCGAAACGACCCAAGACATGCTGAAGGCGTCCCAAGCAGCCAACTGGACGGCCCCAATGCCCCGCACAACCCTCCTGGACGGCCAGGATTCCCGCAGCAGAAGAAGCATGCCAGCGAGCGCTCCTGCAGCCCCCCCGGTGAACCAAAAACTCCCGCTGTCACGTCGCACGGCGGCGTGGAACACCGCCCCCCCCCCCCCCTACCGCGAAGCCACCCTCACACCACCCTCCCTGCCACCCCCGTTCCATTCGCCCTCCCCTCGCCCTCCACAGCCCACCAGCCCTCTGGGCGTGACTGGTCTGGAACGCTTCCTCTTCCAACCCGCCTTCTTCCCCCTCCGGGGCCTCCCCCTGCTCCCCCCTGGGTTTGGAGGGGCGATTCGCGAGACGTTGGAGCGTTTGTTGTTTTGGTCTCGGCGCGGGAACCCAACTCATGCTGTTTGTACCATGGTTTCGGTCGCATGTTGCCTTCGTGGGGGGGTCCGAATGGGGGAGCTCCCCTCCTTTGATCGATCTCCTCCAAGATGGCCCCAAGATGGCCCCTGAGGCTACTAAGTGTGCCCCAAGACGGCCCGCAGAGGTGCCCAGGAGGCCCCAAGACCCTCCCAAGAAGCCTCCCAAATGCCCCCAAGAGGCTGCCAAGATATCCCGGAAACGCTCCAAGGCCCCCCAGAGGCACCCTGGACGCCCCAAGAGCCCCAGGCGGGAATGCCAACATCATCGATGTGGTCGAACATGTTGGCCACAATTTGGCCTCCTGGGGTGGGGCCCTGACTAAGGAGCCCCCCCTCCTTTGACCGATCTCTCCTCGGAAGAAGAGCCAGAAACGAAACTCCCAACCCGGTGGCGTGGAGTTCCTGGTGGCGACCATCAAGTAGGCGCAGCCAAAATGGCGCGGCGGCGCGACCATGAACACGCAGAGCGCCCCCAAGCGTGAGGACAAGCGCGTCACATGGTTGAGCCCTCCACAGGCTCAGACCAAAAACTACGTCGCGGCTCTGTTAGCGGTGTCTTCAGAATGCGGATGCCACACTTATTTGTGCGCTGCCTGGGTGGCGGGACTTGCCACAGGCACCTGGATACATATGACGGGATGTTACCAGTCGCCACGTTCTTGTTCGCGCCGTTCTGAACGTTCTTGCGTGTCGCCTTGGCACCACCGCCACCTAGCTCACGTATGAGGCGCACCACCTGTTTCACAAGGCTCGACCGCGTTCCCTTCGCCAGCCCTGCGTGCAAACCAGCACAACTAATGTCCTGGCACGGGAAGCCCGCCGTGACGAGGTCTACCGCATCCCATCCGTTCTCACATGGTGGAAGATCTTTCGGGTGGAGCTTCTTCACATCTTCGAAAATCGGTGCGTCGTCTAGTTCACCAGATTCGATCTTCCGCTCCAGCACTCCACGAGATGCAGGCTCGTTGTCGCAGTACCCGATGGTGCGGGCAAACTTCGCGAAGGCCACGGCGAACCCACCGATGCCACTGAACAAATCCTGGGGGGGAACCAGGAGATACCGAAACCCGCTGCTCACGATAGGGGAACACACGCGACAGACTGTCGGAGGTCCGCGAGGATCTCGTGGATCGGCGCTGGGCCCTCCTCCCTGGAGCGTGGAGCACGCCAGGGGCGGCGCCAGACGCGCCCGCCAGGGCGATTCGACACCGAACCCAGGAATCCGCACGAAGCTGCGAAAGCTTATGCTTATGAACTGATCTTCTTCGAATGACACCTTCCAGGTGCGTTCTGACAAGGATTCCGACGCGAATCCAGCCGTGGCGACTCGAGAGCCCTCCACGAGGCCCGCAAGTGCGAAAGCGAGGGCAGGGAATCGTTACCGGCAATACTCGATCCCACTGCTGCCGCCCCAAATCCGCCCAACCTGGGTCCCAGCCTGGCCAGCTCCCATCCTGGATCTACGCTTGACGCTCCCAGGGCCCGATATCTGCGACCGGGCGCCGAACATGGCGAAAAACGTGAAGCCTAAGATTGACTATCTGCCTCCGCTGAGGTCCAGAGCGCGGAGCTTTCTGGTCGGCATTCCTAACCGCGCCAGCGTCGCCCAGCTCCTGGCGCTGCACGGGGCGCCCTGTCGATGTATGTTCGGGAAGCCTCGTCTGTCCCGTCGCGTCGGTGGCTCCGCGTCGGTGGCTCCTCGCGCCGAGTCCGCGCCGACCCCAGGAATCCGCGCCGAACCCGCGTCTAGGCCCCCCTGCCCAGGCACGAGAGGCGCCCTTCCCAGACCCCCGACGTCGAGATTTTTTCGCACGGCCGACCCCCCAGAGGTCTGGACCCCTGACGGGCGTTCCATCCTGAGCCGTCCGTTGACGGTCCCGAGGCCCGGGAGGGGCCCCCGGAGGCAGTAAAAAATTGCCAAGGACCTCCCGTCGTGATTTCTCCACGGCCCGAGGGGGGCCTGGGACGGCACGACAGACAACGCCCCCGAACAGTGCCACGCAGAGCGCCCCGCTGGCCAACGCAAGCCCCGCGCGGGCGCGCGCGCGCGCGCCGGCGCTGCTCCCGGCCGCCTCGGCGTCTCGGGCGCCGCCGGGGCGCGGGCGGGCGAGCAGCGCCTGGGCCAAAGTGGCTGCGGCGCGGCAGGCTCGGCGGTGGACAAACCTCCCTTTGATAAACCGATAAACCTCTCCTTAGTGAAAACGGCCTGGGACCGAAACCGACGGCCGCAATGCCCTCTCGCGAACCGAGAACGGCCAATTCACTCATCGACGCGTCAGGGTAGGAGGTCCATCAACCTCCGGCAGGCGGGGCAGCGAGCCGGATGGCCTCCCCCAGACAGGGCTCCGGCCGGGGTGCGCCGCGGGGGTCGGAGCAGCGCGCCGCGTCGCTTAGGCAGCGGCGACGGCTCGAGGGCAGCGGCCCGGAGAGCGTCGGGCTCGGGATCGCGCCGCCTCGCCGAGGTCTCTCGGCGAGGCGGCGCGGCCCTGCGGCCCCCAGCAGGGCTGGCCCCATGCGGGAGGGCCTGGCTGCGCGCAGCCGCCACCGCGGTTCGCGCGAGCGGCACCCACTCGCCCGCTGCCTGGATGGCCAGTGGCCTACGCAGGGTGGTTCCGATGCTCCTCTTGTCAGCCCCCCAGTTCTTCCAAGGCGGTGGCCACTTCCCCCCCCTGTATCCCCTCCCCAGGATCCCAGTCCAGAATGCCAACAGAAGGGCATGTGAGGGATTATGTCTCGTCTCCGCGGCCAGAGACGCAAAGCAGCAGGGGGTGGCGACGTCTCGCTGGGATCATCCTGGGGGGACGCTCTGGCGGACCTGGCAAGTACGCAGGGAGGGAGGCAGCGGCACCGCTCGGCATCAGATTTAGGGTGGGCCAGGGCTCGCCAGGACCTGCGTCGGGAGGCGCTCCAGTGGTGGACCCCCCAAAGGGCGCCGAGGAGCAGCTACGTCTGCATTCGTGGCCGCATGCAGTGGGGAAGTAGCACTTGGCTATGTATTTGGGGGGCGGTCCGCTGATCGCCCCGAGCAGAAAGTTGGGATGTGTTGCAACTCTGCCAACACACACAGGGGAACTCCGTTGTGCTCGGGGGACATGTTGTGAACACGGACAGCAAGAAGTGCGACGTCAGAAACAAAAAAACGATGCTTGCAAGAACGCCGTGGTGAGAACTGCGGGCGATTCGGCTTGTTTTGGTCCCATGCAGTGACATGAAAGTATCTCCTCCTCTTCGTCCTCCTCGCACTCCTCCTCCTCCTCCTCCCCCTCCTCCGTGCCCTCTAAGGGAGGCTCCAGCTCCCGACGCGCGGAACCAAAACAGACCCCTCTCGTGTGTGAACTTCGCGGCCACGCCCGAGGGGCCGTGCTACACCCAACAACGCACGCACACCCCCGAGCAGGCACCGAAGCGGAAGAGAGAATGAACGGAGGGCAGAGGAGAGGAGTGAGGGAAGATGAGGGTGGCACCAGCTGATGGTTGAACACGAAGCCTAAAAAAAGAGGGAGGTAAGAACAAAGTGCGCACGACGACGGGAATGAGTGGGAATCAAGGGGATCAGGAAAATACGGAGGAGGACAAGGCGGGGTAGGACCAACCCATACGAGCGTTGGCAGGTCTGGGTGAATACACTTACTCGCTCTATGGATAATTCCGCCGGCCCCCTTGCGGGGCCACAGGGCTGTAGGGCAAAAGTTTGCTGTTTCCTGCGCCAGTTCCAGTCTCAAGTTTCCACTGTTACAGTGTTGCGTTATGCTGCTTACTGTTCATTGTTGTAGAACGCGAGAGGGGGGGAGCCGAAAAGCGTCCGAATTACCACGCCCGAGTCGCATGCTCTGAATTCCTGGGGGTGGGCGTGGGACACGTACAAATACTTGAAACTCGCGCCCCCGAAACCATACACCCTCGTAGATTACGCAATAGTCGCGTCCCCGAAACCATATAGCCTCGTGAATTACGCGATATTCGCGTCCCCGAAGCCATATACCTTCGCAACATAAGCCATATGCGTGTCCCCGAAACCATAAACCCTTGTAAATTACGCAACGCTTGCGTCTCCAAAGCCACAACATCAACTTCATACATTAAGCTATATTCGCGTCTCCGAAGCCATACACCCCCGTCAATTGCACAATATGTGCGTTCCTGATGCAATAAACCATTGAACATGACTTAATGTTCGCGCCCCCGAAGCCATAACCCCTCGCGAAATTACACTATAGTCGCGCATCCGCACCCCCGAACGCTTGTAAATTACACAAGATTCGCGTCCCGGAAATCATAACCTGCGCAAGTGACGCAATAGTTGCGACCCCGAAGCCATACACCATCGTAAACTATACCATAATCGCGTGTCCGAAACCGTAAGCCTGCGTAACTGACGCTATATCTGCGACCCCGAAACCATACACCCGCGTAAATCACGCGCTAGTCGCGTATCCGAAGCCATCGACCCTCGTACATTACATTAAATTCGCGTCCCCGAACATCTTAATACTTTGTAGAAAAGATTTTTGCACAGCATAGAGCAAGCTCGAAATACAACACCGAATTCAACAATATCATCATGACCTCAATCTGTCTTGCCGATTACTCATCGTCTTCGCGTGAAGTCCCGACGCTGCTTCAAGATCGCGCCAAGGCCTCATGATTTCGCCCTTGCATTGGCCATTCTCCGAGAGAGGGGGCCGGCGGCAGGGGCGAAGCCCTGGCGGATATACACGAAAAACAATCGAAACGAATGCCCCGGCAAGGACAGAGGACCCACACGCCACACCGACCAGAGAGTGTGAGGAGGGAGGAGGAGGAGGTCTGATCTGCACCAAGCCTTACCTAGCCCTTGGCCCTTGGCTCTGCTGGCGCTCTGGGGGGGTGGGAGGGAGACGGAAGCGAGACGGATCATCCCCTTTGCGACCTCCGACGCCTCTCCTGAGGCTTGGAGGCTGGGCCTGTGCCTGAGCGGCGCAATACCTCCAACACAGGGGGCCACATGCGAACCCTGCCCCTGCCCCCCACGATTCCTGAGGGGGATAGGGGGCAGGGTTCGCACGCGGCCCCCTGCAACAGCTGCTCCCTCCAAGGAGATGCTCCGCAGCTCTCTCGCGGCGCCCAGCCGTCGGACCCAGTCGTCGCGACGAGAGAGGCACGCCACCCCCGACGCCCGGCGACGGGGAGCACACAACCCCAACAAGAATCGAGCATCGCGCGGGGCCCGGAGGGCCCCTCCCGTGCGGCGCGCGCGGAGGCGGGCAGGGGGGAGGGGGGCAGGCCTCTCGGAAGGCGGCTGCTTCCTGGAAGGCACACGGGCCTCGCCTGTACAGACGAGGCCCGCGCCCTCCAAGCAGCAGCCTCTCCTTCTGAGAGGCCCTGCCCCCTCCCCGCGGCCCCCCCCCCCTCTGCTCGCGGCCGACCTCACCCTCCGCTGGAGCACCGAGCCGTTGCACGAGCACGAGCCCTCGGAGGCCCACGAAGGATGGCCTGCGCCGGCGCAGTAGGGCGCCCTCCGCGGCACCACGGGAGGGCCAGGGATCCTTGCGGGATCCAGTGGCGATCCCATGGACCCACGCCGCGTGGGAGGAAGCGTCTTGCTGGATCCATGCTCCTGCCACTGTGACTGCCCGCCGATCGGCTCCATCCATGCCGATTGCATCAGTGGCTGGCGAGGGGGGGGCCGGCATCCGCGACCCCCCTTTCCCGCACCCTGTCCCCCGGGGGCAGCGTCTGCAGAGGTGGTGGTCCTGCAGGGACCGCTGGCCACGGGCTCCAGGAGGCCGCAGCCGAGAGAAAACGCCACAAGCTGCACAACCCATCTACCATCAGGCCGGGCATGTCCTCCTACAGGCGGACCTTGGAGGTTTTTTTATGTTCTTTTGGATGACTCTTCAAAAACAAATGAAAGAGAGAGAGAGAGAGAAAAAAAAAAAAAACAAAAAAAATCCGAATGATGAAACAGATAGTGCCACAGTCGTCCCCGTACTTTTTGTTGGCCGCTCTCGAACACTCCTCCTCTAGAGTTAAGTCGGGCCTGTCCCCCTACAGGGGGATTTTCGACGAGAAAAAATACCCCACAAATAACCAAAACATAGTCCGAAAATAGTCTGGGGACTATTTATTGATCATTAAAAACAAAACTTTTTGGGGTATAGAAAAAAATCCGCGAACATCCCCCTGGTAGGGGGACACGCCCGACATAACTCTAGAGGGACATGCCCGACCTCACCAGGGCGTCGCAGACCTGGGACGCGGCGAGCACCCCCGCGCGACCACGCCGCGCGGCGGGCCCCTCGGCGGCCTTGCTCGCCGCGGGCATGCTCTCCCAGGTGGACTTCTCCTCGGCAGGGGGCGGCCGGCCCGCGGGGGGGGGGGCCGCCCCGAGGGGGCGGCCGTGGGCCGAGGCGGGCACCGGTCGGGGGACCATCCCCCCGATCGATCGAGGCTCCCGAAGGCCCCCTCGCGTCGTGACAGAGGTCACGGCGGGAGGCCTTCTGTCAGCGTCGCCTCCGAAGGGCCCTTCCCGGGCCGCGGGGCCGTCGAGACACGACTCGGGAGGAACAACCGGTCCTGGGCAAGTTAAGCAGGGACCGACCGTCCTGGCAGTCCTGTAGTCGTACCACGGAATGTTCTTAGAACCCAAGAATGTTCTAATAACAAAAACAATGTTCTTAGAACATAAACCCAATGTGCTAAAACAAGACAGTCCCGGCCAGAAATGTTCTAAGAACATTTCGTGGCAACCACAAAAGGTTATTCGAACATTGTTTGGTAGGGCTATAGGCGAGCCAGGACGCTTCGCCACTGCTTGACTGGGGGTCGACGTAGTGCAACACAACTCGCGACGTCGGGGGTCTGGGGATCCAGGCTCGAGGGCCGAGGGATCCCGTCAGGGCCCGTCCCGGGCCCGGGTTCGGTGTCTGCGCCGCCCTGGCCAGGCTGGGAGGCGTACAAGCACCGATCCTGGGCCCAGGATCGGCCCGGCTGGCTGAGGCCAGGGAGGTTTTAATCGAGCGTCCCCCGATCCAGCCGCCCGCCAACCGAGAGCGTTCGCACTAAGGACCTCAAATAAATGCTTGAGAGCTTCAACATGTGGATCAAACGCTTCAAAAGGAAGCTTGCACATTGAATCATGAAGCACGTCAGAGCTCTAATGTCTGCTAGCTTCCATCGCCGAAGATTTAACAGCTTGAAACAGGTAAAACACATATGTGCATTGAAACGTTGGCTATGTTGAAGACTGCAAAAGTTGGTAGCGCGAAGGGGGATCGGAGGCAGCTTGCTCGCACACGACGAAGTCC